TAAAATTACTTTTATTCAGGCCTACTCTTAGAGACAGCTCCATAGATAGACACAGAGAGAGACAGAGAGACAGAGAGACAGAGAGACAGAGACAGAGACAGACAGAGGTGGCAGCTAGAGAAATGCCTTAGCTATGAATGGTACTTTTGCTTACACAGGACCCAGGTCAGTTCTCAGCACTCACGGTGGCTAATAACTACTTGTATCACTAGTTCTAGAAGACCCAATTCCCGTTTTGACCTCCAACGGTTCCTGCATGCAAGTGGTGCACATACACCCACTGAAGTACACACACAGGCATACAAATATTTGTGTGTGTGTGTGTGTGTGTGTGTGTGTGTGTGGTCTTTATTTTAAAATTAAAATAATCAATGAGACAGCTCTTAAAAATAAATGACACCTAGGACAAATTTTCAAACACATGTATGTAGTACTTATATATGAATTGTTCTAAGTTTTTAATCACTTAATGCTTTTAACATTTAAAATACGTAAAATTGTGTGCATTTTTCTAGAATGATTAAGATTTTTAATAGGTAGGGGAAACTTTTTCTTTTTCCTTTCTTTACTTGTCCTTTCTTCCTTCCTTTCTTTTCTTCCTTCCTTCTTTCTTTCTTTGTATTTTGAGACAGAGTTTCTCTGGGTAGCCCTGGCTGTCCCGGAACTCAATCTGTAAGCCAAGCTAGACTTGAACTCAGAGATCTACCTGCCACTGCTGCCTGAGTGCTAGGATTAAAGGCATGTGCCACCACCGCCCAGCTAAGGTGAAAACTCTTTTTTAAAGATTTATTTATTTTATGGGTATGTGTGCCATGTGCATGTAGGAAAGAAAACTTGGGAGGCCAGGAGAGGGCATTTCTCCTCTAGAACTGGAGTTATAAACAGTTCTGAGCTGCCTTACACAGGTACTGGGAACCAAATGCATGTTCTCTCTGCAAGAACAGCAAGCGTTCTTAACCACTGAGCCACCTCTCCAGCCTAGTGGTTCTCAACTTTCCTAATGCTGGGGCCCTTTAGTACAGTTCCTCATGTTGTGGCAACCCCAACCATAAAATTATTTCTATACAACCATATAACTATTTAAGTTTGCTACATTTCTGAATCGTACTGTATATATCTGTTGTTTTTTTGTTTGCTTGTTTGTTTTTTTTCCTGATGGTCTTAGGCAATCCCTGTGAAAAGGTCATTTGACCCCCAAAGGGGTCACAACCCACAGGTTGAGAACTGCTGCTCCAGCCCATGAAAGCATCCTTTTAGAAAACTTTTATACTTTTTAAGACTCAAGACACTTCTATATTCAACACTGACCTTTTTTTAGAATCTTTCTTAAATTTTTTAAATATTTCTTTTTTTTTAATTTTTTATTTTTTAATTTATTTTTATTTTTCTTTATTAATTACACTTTACTCACTTTGTATCCCCCTGTGGTTCCCTCCCTCCTCCTGTCCCAATCCCTCCCTTCCTCCACCCTTTGCCTGCATGCCCCTCCCCAAGTCCACTGATAGGGGAGGACTTCTTTTCCTTCCTTCTGATCCTAGTCAATTAGGTCTCATCAGGAGTGGCTGCTTTGTCTTCTTCTGTGGCCTGGTAATGCTGCTTCCCCCTCAGAGGGAGGTAATTAAAGAGCAGGCCAATCAGTTTATATCAGAGACAGTCCCTGTTCCTATTACAATGGAACCCACTTGGATACTGAACTGCCATGGGCTACATCTGTGCAGGGGTCTTAGGCTATCTCCATGCATAGTCCTTGGTTGGAATAGCAGTCTCAGGAAAGACCCCTGTGCCTCAGAACAAAACGACAGCCTACAGATTGGGAAAAGATCTTCACCAACCCTATATCTGACAGAGGGCTAATATCCAGTATATATAAAGAACTAAAGAAGTTAAACAGCAAAAAATCAAGTAATCCAATTAAAAAATGGGGTACAGAGCTAAACAGAGAATTCTCTGCAGAGGAATATCAAATGGCAGAGAAACACTTTAAGAAATGCTCAACCTCATTAGCCATTAGGGAAATGCAAATCAAAACGACCCTAAGATTTCACCTTACACTCATCAGAATGGCCAAGATGAAAAACTCAAGAGACAACCCATGCTGGAGAGGTTGTGAAGAAAAGGGAACCCTCCTCCATTGCTGGTGGGAATGTAAACTTGTACAACCACTCTGGAAAGCAATCTGGCGCTTTCTCAGACAACTAGGAATAGCGCTTCCTCAAGATCCAGCTATACCACTCTAGGCATATATCCAAAAGAGTCTCAAATATTTTTCTAATTACATGTATATGTGGTATGGAGAGGGTATGTGTACATGAGCACGGACCCCTGCCAAGTCCAGAAGAGAGCGTGAGAGCCCCTGTAGCTTCAACTACAGGCAGCTGTGTAAGCTGCGCATGCAGGTGCTGGGAGCCTAACACAGATCTTTAAGGTCGGTAGGTGACCTTAACCCCTTACTGTCTCCCCAGCTTCCCCAAATACTGTTTTCAATGAAGAGGTTCTGGGGCAAGCCATCGTCCCTGCTACTCTGTCTACCAATTCTACCAATTCTCACAGCCTTGAACAAATATTAACGGTGTGGCTTTGAGTGGGTCAGACAACGCTGCCCCCGCCCCCTGCGCCATGGAATTCCTATCTAAATTCAATTCACTCTCAGTGTCAGGAATGGTCTTGGCTGAGAGATAAAGGAGTGAAAAAAAAAAAATCCTCTTGCAAAAGCCCATTAAGTAATTCCAAGAAGCAAGGAAGATTAAGTTATTATAATATTAGCTCCGCCTGGAGGAAGGGGGGCAGGACTGAAATCAAACCCAGAAGCCCATCTATGCTAGGCAAGTATTTTACCACTGAGTTACAGCCCTAGCCCCCAAACCAGCCATAGTTATTTTACACAATGAAGGACTTCTTTAGTAACTGTTTCTTTAGTCCTGTTTTAAAGGCAAGTTTTACCTGGCCTCTCGATGTGTCTTAGCTGATGAAAAGCCAAGGACACAAACTACTGATGAAAACAGGACCCAAGTGAGCCAAGATACCCTCTACCTCTCCTTGCTGCAAAGCTCTACAGATCCTGGGAGCCACTGGGGGTAAAACTTCACAGCCAGAAAGCACGACCTGGCAAATGATGGACAGCAGCCCACAGAGCACTGTCAGGATCCTCAGAGCATCTCAATGATGCTGACAAAGGTCTGTTTACACCTGGAGGTTACAGCCGACAGGCCGGGCAGGCACTGCAGAGACTCTGACAGCTGCAAAATTCAACTGCAGCACAACTCAATCCCTCACGACACTGCTCATTTCCAGGCTGCCCTTGCAGGATCTGCCACAAGCCATGTTTTTATTGATTCAGAATGATTGCATAATCACAGACTTGGTTTGCTACAGTCACCTTCGGTTCACAGGAAGCATCCTCAACACAGCCCACCGCTCAGCACAGAATTTCAAAAACCACCAACCAGGAGGCTAAATGAACCCCACTGGGTCCAAAGCAAACACATGAAGGAAGATGATAAGAGCAACTCCAGGGAGTACTTCCCTCATAAACAGCTTAGGGTTCACCATAAACACCTCACTCAATCCAAGTACCCAAGACACCTTTGTACCAATATCACAGTGATCACAAACAGCATTAAGACTGGACATGCCTCACTCGTTCTAGGTTACAACCTCAAAAATGTTCACAAGGAACCTATAACCATTCAATTCCTAATAGAGTCATTCCACACTAGTCTGCCAAAAAGAAAGAAAACCCATGACAGGAGGTCTCAGTTTGCCGACGGTCTACAAAGTGGGACCTGACTTCACATCCAGGCTTGGCTACAGGCAGCAGAGAAATATTCAGGCCTCCTCCTCCCTATACCCATCTCCATGCACTATCAGGTTCTGACTGCAGACTCAGTGGATACAGCTGCCCCCATGGAGGGTGGCAGTAAGGAGGTGCAGTCAGGGGGAGCATGAGAAAGGGGGACAGGTGAGCCATTTAGTAGCTCAGATCCGTCCTGTCCAGCCACAGGTCCCAGTCCGGGAAGAATCTACTAGCAACTAGTCATCTGCAGGCAGCAGACTCCTCCACACACTATAACCTTGACAGTTCTACTGCAGCCCTGCCCAGTCCAGACACCGAGACCAGGCTCTTCCATCACACTTTGACCCACGTGCCTCCTCCCACCTTCCCCTCCTCATCAACCATTCCTCTTACCACTACTCACAGCCCCCACCCCCTACAGTTTCCAGAATCTTCTCTCTGGTTTTTAGCTCCCTGCGTAGGGGCGGGAGCATCCAACAGCCCCAGCCTCACCACTTTCTGAATGTGCAACCTTAGGCAAGTTATATAATCCCTTTAGACTAGGGCCGCTCAATCTGCGCAGCGGGGCTGACCTCATCCCTCAAAATGAGGATTAAATGAAAACGATGCATACAGCACTTAGCAAAATCCCCTGCATTCATTCACATATTTGCTAAGTGCCCACAGCGCAAAGGAAGAGGTTTTATAACTGGGGGTGGCTACCATTCCCTCCCTCCACTAGCGCACTTTTTCATTATTTTCACTTTATGTGCCTTAGTGTTTTGCCTGCATATATGTCTTTGTGAGGTTGTCGGATCCCCTGGAACTGGAGTTACAGACAGTTGTGGGATGTCATATGGATGCTGGGAATTGAACCCGGGTCCTCTTAACCTCTGAGCCATCTCACCAGACCCCACGATTGTATTTTCTATGACGGAAACAGTTTACCACTTGTAAGCCTGCAGTTGGTACAGTGGTACAGATGCATGCTCGCACGGTCCTTAGCCATCACATCTGAACAGAGTGCTTCCACCTGCTGCTGGAATTCTGTCTCTGAACATGAACTCACCGGCTCAGCCAACGAAGCACCGGCTCAGACACAGGCCTAGACAAAGTGAACTTCTCCAGCCCACTGCCCCTCTAGCCACGTGTGACGACTACTCCTCCTTTGGTGCTCCCCTACACATGTCATATAACCCTCTACCCCCAATTCTCGGCGGGCACCTACCTATTTCCGGTACCTTCTCATTCACCGGGGGAACACGGTATGGGGGTGCTTAAGTCACAATTCTCTCTCCTGTCCTTTTACCATATGTCTGTGTCCAATAGTCAGCTCCTAAAAGGAACAAGGACAATCTGGATTAGAATACCAACTCCAATTCTTGCCTCACCTTGTGGCCTGGAGCAGTTTCTTCCCCTCTCTAGGCCTCCATGCCCCATCAGTAGGCAGGGATGAGCTACTGAGGTGCTGTTGTCCTGACACCTGAGAGCCCTTAGAGCCGAGCCCAGCACCTGAATTGACTGTCTTTCATCATACCCACCTCCCGCTCAGGAATCTGTGCTTTATTACCAGGCACACTTTGTAGCCAACAGTGTCATCCTCTGCTTCCCACAAGTTCCACCCCTTCCGGCCGGCACAGAGTCCCTCTCCCAAGGTCCTGGCCCTTTGGTGGTCCTAGAATGTGTCCTGTTCTTCACACTCAGACCTCATAGATTCCTCCACTAGTCATCCACCGCGGTCCCCTAGCCATCTCTCTCCTCATTCTCCATCCAGTCTTCTTCACTGGTCACAAGGCAGGAATCAGACCAGGATTCAGCTTCACATCTACACTCTAAAAGGCCCTCAGAAAGAATCTGTGCTGCTGCCTAGAGCCCTGGAATTCTCAGACCCAGATGAGGCCTTCAAAATGACTAAGAAAAAGGCCCCTCCAATTGCCCTGGACAACTGCCCCGCACTTTCCTCACTCCCTCCCACTCCACCCGGAAATGCAAAGCCACTATGCCCCACCTCCCTGCCTCTCTGCTCCTCACTAGGATTCAGCCCCAGGCACCTCCCCAAGCTTCCCTGGGACTCTCTTCTAGGCCTGGACCATTGTACACACCCTTCTGCCCCAACCTAGATAAGTACACCAGACATTTACAATCCAAGCCTGCCTGGACTCCCGCTGGGCTGGGCCCACAGGTCACTCAGGGATGTCGCCCTCTGCCAGACCCCATCCCTCACCTACACAGTCCCTAGAAGTACAGCACAAAGAGCATCTCCTCCAAAGAGCTGGTCCTCACTCCTCCTCCTGCCTCCAGCCCTTTGCACACCTCTAAGAACACTTCACTACTTCCTACTGATTGTGCCTCTTCACCAGGGCACAGAGCTATGCCTGGCATGAACTGCTCAATAAATAAGCCAATGAGTACTGCAGACCCTGCTTTCCACTCTGATGTTTTGTTGAGATGGTTTATTAAAAACTTCAATTAAGACTCATAAACCCACCACTTATGAGCAATGCTGTACATTTTCTTTCTCTGAATTAGATTAGGAAACATTCCCTGCCCTTGCCTTCCCAGAGCAAATATATTCCTTTGATGGAGAAAGAAAAAAAAAAAAAAGACCAGAAACAAAAACATTACTTCCTCCTCAACAAAAACCAAAAATAGCAGCACAGCTTATACAAAGTGCCATCTGACACTGGCTTTGGTAAGGTAAGAGGCAGTTGTGCGAGCCGAGAGGAGAAAGGGAAGTTTATGTTGGATGACCACTGTGTGACACCAACAATAGCCACATGCTATACAAGAAAGCTGACAGAAATAATAAATCTCAGGGAGGCAAAGGGAGAAAGGGGAAACGGTTGGCTGCAGTGGAAATTTCCTTCCTTTGTCTAGTTTTCCTTCTGGTATGCCTACCACACCAATTTCTCAATAGTGACTTATGACAATTTCATTTATAGGAAATGATTTCAAAGGGCCCAGGGAGCTGCAGATGGTACCTCAGGGGCCCATCTGTTTGAGGATGAAAGCATAGCACACACCATTACATCACTCTGACCTTCCTCAGTAACTTCCTATCTGACAAAACCTAGATGTTTGCTCGGTCAACAAGATATTTGTGTTTGTCTCCAGCCTCGGGCTTTGGTTCCTGATTAGTTTTGAAATCATTATGCATCCAAACTGAATAGGGCCACTGTTGGCAGCTGGAAGGCCATCCTCTGGGCACAGCCCCAGCTCTGTGGGCTTTGGGGTGACTGCTGTCCTTTCTGCATAACTGCACTATCGGATGGACCATCCTCCTGGCCCCTTCCAAAGCTAAAGCTGTTCTCCTCAGCATCCTCTTTCCCCGGGCGACCCCAGAAAAGGGAAGAAGGGTGTAGCATAGCGAGGCCTCAGGCTCTCCTCAGATAAAGGCTGTACTGCAACACACTACTGCCCCAGCCCGCACTCCCATCCCGTACAGTCCCCTCAGCCCCACTACAAGACAACTATTATTTCCGGGACACTCACAGACCCCACAGTATCCCAGTGCCCACGGCACAGCTAAACGTCAGTCAAACAGGCTCAGATGACCACACACACCTTTCATCACTCTAGGACACGGAGCAAAACCTTCATCCTCTTAAACCCTTCATCCTCCACACTCCACAGGGCACAACCACAGATGCAGTGTCAGCTGTGAAGCGTGGGACCTCCTGGACAGCTACCGTGCAAGGCTAGGGAAGAGGAAAAAGACTAGTGGTATTGGGAGGGGAACAAAATGGGGGTTGGATGAGACAGAATTCTGACAGAATATGTCACATTACATATATGGAAACGTCATAATGAAACCCACTATTACATATAATGAATATGTACCAATAAAAACATTTTAAAAAAGGGACTGTTCTGTAAACAGGCTGGGTGGTATTGGGGGAGGCCTGTGCGCTGCCATTTGCACCTTTAAAGGACTCTCTAAAATAAGATGGAGATGGGCAGATATTCGATAATTCGAGAGGAAAATCCCAGTGTCGAGGAGCACTGGTCACATATTTCGTAAAATGGTCCTCTATGGGGTTTGTCTGGCTTTTTTTTTTTTTTTTAATATAAAAAAGTTTATTTAGCAAAAAAGTTTTACATGAAAATGAAAATGTACATGACCCAATCCCATGGCATAGTCAAAGATGGTCTTTGGAAAGAGATGTGAACTCCTCTGCTGAATTCACAGTTCCAGTTTAGCCTCCAAGGCTTCCAACATGACGCTATTTCCACTGGTGACCACCATTCCAGTGTTATTCCATTGCCCACCAGCAGTCACCTCCACACACCCAACAACCACAAATGGACCAAAGCCCCGCTGTATTCACTGATAACTTCTTGTCTACAAATTTTTTCAGCTCCGAAGGGTGAGCCTACCTCATGGTGACTGACTGAATCCTCAGCGAGCTCAGTGCAGTGGCAAAGGCGTGGACCCATCTGACTTTTTTTTTTAAATGGTTGTCCTGGCTGTGGGTTTGGAGAGACAGCAGAGGAACGTCCTACAATCACTGTATGCCCACACCGTCACAGGATGGCTAAAGACCAGGTCAGCCTGGACTGCTTGGCTCTAAGCTTTCTTCTCCCTTCCCATCCTCTCTCCTCGCTGAGCTGGAGGGAGCGGGAACTTCAGCTTGGCTTCCTGAAGGAAAAGTATCTGCAACAATTATTTGAAATTCTCCCAGAAGAGAGGCATTTCCTGACTTGGAATAAATTTCACGTCATGTGAACACACACATTATGCTTTGGATTATTATGCGGTGCCACACTACTTAGTCTGTTGCTAAAGTTAGCTCTGGCTATTAAGAGCTCCCTCTTCCCTTCACACGCACACGTCCTTTAATCCTTTTTTTTTCTTCTTTTTTTTGAGCACTTCCTTAAATTCTGGCCCACACAAGATGCTCCAGATCTATAATTACACATTTTTCCAAGAAGTCTGGGTCACTGGAGAGTGGCACCGGTGGAATGACGATATGGGTGTATCTATCACTAACAGAGCGTCATGGCTGCGTGTATCACTTACACACATGTACTTATCAACTCTTTACGGGTCAGTATTTACTTAAGCCCACACCTGGGTCTCCAAGTCATCCCGGCCTTACACACAATCACTGGGAATCATTTGAACACATATTGGGATGTGATAAAATATAGCTATATACCACAATTGTGTACAAAGAAATTATGTAGATAAATAACAACAACAAAAAGAATGGCATACCATTTAGCATATGCCTAAGAAAAGGAAAACACTGAAGGACCCGTACGCCATGAGCATCTTTGCCAGCTAGAGTGCAATGTGTTTGTTTTTGTTTTTTGCCATTAGATTAATACTCAAAACCCCATTCATCAAAGTGAAGTAGGTCCCTGTGCCTTGTGTGCCAGATCTTCAGTGTCACAGCTAGACTCTTCTGCCACTGTCTGCCTCTCAGCACACACATGGCACGCTCACAGAGCTACAGAGCTACTGCCTAGTGTCTGATCTAACCAGATCTGAATCCACTTACTTCTCCCGTGCCTAATCTAACTAGCCTGCTGTGCACAACCCTGGCAACACTCCTGGGGCACACGTGTTCTGCTTTACCCTTAATGCTACAATTCTCTGACCTGCGGGGCTTGCCCAGCACCTAGCTCAGTTCTGGAACACAGAGATGCTCAGCTATTAGAAAGATGGACAAGCGGCACAGATTTCATCTTATGTTAACTTAATGCAGTTTAATGGCTGGAATTCAACCAAACCTGAAAGACAATTTCTCTCAGAGTGTTACATAAAGTTCATTAATAATAGTTAAAAATTTAATATTACTCCTAACAGACTAAAAAACAAATTACACAACTGTTGGAAATCATTTGAACACATATTGGTATGAGGTAAAAATATACCACACTTGTGTACAAAAAAAAAAAATGTAGCTAAATAACAAAAAAAGAATGGCATGCCATTTAGCATATGTCTATGAAGGGAAAGACATTGAAGGACACATACAAAGTTATTTTTAAGCTCCTTTTTTCCCCCTTGTCCTTAAATTAAAATTAAAAAGCCTGTCTGCTATGTGGGAAACCATACAGGAAGATTCTTTCAAGACACTGAGCTTATATTATATTATGAAAAAAAATATTTTCAACAACAATAAATCAATAAATGAGTATTTGCAAGTAGAAAAAAATAATTAAAGAACACAAGGACATTGACATGAAAAGGAGTGAGAGAAAAAAAAATACACTGAGAATTGTTCTCAGCAAAGAAGAAAACCAGCTCAGTGGTGCATGCCTTTAATACCAGCATGCAGGAGGCAGAGGCAGGCAGATCTCTGTGAGTTTGAGGCCAGCCTGGTCTAC